AGGGCTTGGGGCACCCAGCTCTGTATATGGGCTTGGGCTTCTTATTAATAACTCACAAGTGAGGGGCGTGTTAGAATATCACTTGTGAAATATACCCACCTTATAAGTCTAATGGAATACTCCTCCTTCCACCAATTGATTTTGGGATGGATTCCCATTTGGGCTTCATCTTGGCTTTCCCTGCTTATGGTGCGCTTCAAGTGCGTGGGACCGCACCGTTTTCCCCTTGTTTTTTACAGTGTGCAGAAAACCTTGTGATTGAATGTTGATGCCATGCCCAGTTGATCCAAGTACCTGCTTAGTCGACAAATAGAAATTGCATCACCCTCAACTTTTAAAAAAATAAACAAAAAAAAAAGAGATTTCATGTACTTATAATTTAAGTTCAACATCTATAATTATGGAAACAAAAGGTTTTTTGGTTGAACAATTGATTGAATTTAAACTTTTGCAGCACATTGCATAATATTGTTGTTGATGAGAGCTTATCAGATAAATATTTTTTAAGAAATTGTCCTTGTATATAATTCTCGAAATGCGCTGAGCCTGTGTGGCAGGCTTGTGTGCTTCATTCTGCAATGCTTTGGGTCTTATTTTGCTTATGTGGCAATTAAATAAACTTAAGTCTTGGATGACATGGACAAAAATATTTAAAAGTAATAAAATTGACTTCAATGCAAAGGACTAGGTCTCTACTTGGGTTTAAAATAAACTTAAGGGTAGACTGAGTCTCTTTTTCTTGTTGCCACATCAGCATGACCCAGTCTATTTGCACTTACATTGGAGAGTATATTTTTCTACACTGGTCTATTTCTTATGTGGAACGTATATTTTTTTTAATGAACCCAAAACATTGTGGGTGCTCTAAGCTTATTTGACATAAAATGGTGCTTCGTATGATACATATTCAGGTTTGGTTTTGACTATTAGGCTTGAAAATTACCATAAACTATTATAGCTTTCTTTTTTTCTTAAGTTACCATATACTACTATTACCTTTTTTTATTTAATTCATATATTAGTTATTATAAATATGTATTCATTTCATTCTTAAAACATTATAAATTTTTTATTTGTATTTCATTTTTTGTATATAATCTACAAAATAATCTTATTTTAATGATCTTCGATTTGACATCCATATTGCATATATAAAATAAAAATAATTTCATGTATATTTATGAATAAAATTAATTTTATTATCAACTCAATTTAAAATACATCCAACAACAATATAAAATTATTTTATACAAATAATTAAAATCAAATTTATTACTACACCATAAAATAATCAATTTATTGTTTTTTTCATAAATTTTGAAAAAAAAAATGAAAATTAAGTATTACATAAAGTAAATCTTATGAAACATTATAAAATATTATTTCTCAATTTAAATAGATCATATAAAAAACTGAATGTTATTATGTTATTTAAAATAGTAAATATAAAAGAATATCGTAAATAAATATAATAAAATAATTTTGTATTTCATAAAGTTAGAAAATAATACATTTCTACGTAACCGAGGGTCGATGTAATTGAGATGCTAAATCGGATACAAAAATTCTGAATTATTAATGATATGGACTTAAAATACTTAAAAAATTAATAGACGTAAGACACTGACTCTAAAAATTGCCCCTATATATAATTTCCGAATGCGCTGAGCCTAATTGGCAAGATCGTGTGTTTCATTTGCTTATTTGGCATAATTTGGGGCTTCGTACTGACATTTGTTCACGTTTGATTTGACTATTAGGCTTGGAAATTACCATAAACTATTTTAGTTTTCTTTTTTTCTTAAATACCATATACTACTCATACATTTTTTAATTAATTCATGTATTAATTATTATCGATATGTATTTTTTTTAATTTTTAAATCTTTATAACTTTTTTTATTAGTATTTAATTTTTTATATATATCTACTAAAATAATCATATTTTAACGATGTTCGATTTGACTTCCATATTGCATATATCAAATAAAAATAATTTCATCTATATTTATAAATAATTAATTTTATTCTTCAACTCATTTTAAAAAAAACATAAAATAACAATATAAATTATTTTATAAAAATAATAAAAATCTAATTCATTAAAATACTATAAAATTAATAACTTTTTTTGTTCTTTCCCATAAATTTTGGATAAAAAATGAAAATTAAGTATTACAAAAAACTTGTTTTGTTATAAGAAAATTCGAATCAAATATATGGAGTTGTAAATAATATTAATTTTATACATATATAACTTAAAAAATATTACTAGAAAATATACATTTTTTTTTGACAAATTTAGTGTAAAAATGCGGGCACCATTTGAATTAATTATCACTTTGTTAATTATTTATTATTGTTGCATATTCATCATACATAATTTCACAATAAAAATATAAATTACTTTAATTTTTATTGTTCAAATATTAATATATTTAAGTATGTGTGTTGTACACGGGTATTGTTTTAGTAAATAAATAAAGTTCAAAATATGTGATTAGAAAGTAAAAAATCAACATTCAAAAATATAATAAACCAAGTAAATACTAGGTTTTACAAATCACAAAATCGATTTGCAATTGAAAGACCGAAATAGTAAATCATTATAAATATTTTAAAAAACTTATCTAAAAATGTAAAATATAAATATTGTTAGTACATTTGAGAAATAAATAAATAATACTATTAATTTAAATAAAAATAGCATAAAAATTTAGTTTTTTAATTATTAATATATTATAAATATTTTTTGTATTTCTATATATATTTTATAGTATCTTCTTTATATATATAGATAAATTGACTTAAAAAAAAACTAAGGGGCCAAGGCCTTATGTAGCTCCGTCTCTGATCTATCCATTTGAGATTTGAAATATAAGAAACTATAATTATGTGCCTGAAACATTAAATTTATTGATTCAGTTCTCGAAATATTTTAGACTATGAATTCAAGATTTTGAATATATTGTAAAGAAAATAAATATAAAAAAAATAAACCATTAATAAAACTTTAAATGATAAGAAAAAGGTGAGCAAAACTTTGTATGTTATAAAAAAAGAACTTATAACTAAAAACAATCATTGTAAATAAATTAATATAAATTATAGTTAACCTGTTAGAGATTTCAACTAACAATTTAAATAATTCGAGTCTTAAATTGATATCCTTTATGTTTTAAGCTCCGAATTAATAATTAACCAAATTTTCTAATCTTAGTAGTTTTAGATATCTTATGTAATTGATATAAATCCATTCAACGATTGAAAAAATAAACAAATGAATAAATCAATATTAAATTATATAAACCTATTTGTTTTTATTAAAGACTAGTTTAATTTTACATGAATAGTCAGTAGTCACCTATATATCCTCATAATTAATCAATACACGGCGACCAACTTAAACTATACATTGAGTGATTGAACCACCCGGCCGGCAACAGTAAGTTCAAAATGAAATAAAATAAAAAAGGAAAAAACAAAAATTGCATATAATACAAAAAAAATTAGAAGACTTCGATTAAATTGAGAAAATTTGCAAAACGCTAGCTAGATATTATAATTATTGATATTTTTCCTGTAAATAAATGAAGAGCAAAGTGCAGAAAACAACAAGGAGAGTTCACTTAGATCTCGTGCTGCCTTTGCACATGTGAGCTTTTTTCCTAACCTACAAAAAATGGGACCGAAAACTTTTCCAAGCATTCAATGTTGGGTGCAGTGTCTAAATCGTGGCTGCTATAGTCGCTTTTTTCCCATAAAAGACACCTAAACGAAGGCCCGTCTCCGCACGCGCCTGTTATACTTGATTAAGTGCAAACAAGGACAAAACTCGAAGAGTATGTATGTTCTTCACAATCTTATATTAACCCTTTATTATGAATTAAAGTGAGATGCTTCTCCTTTACTTTTGTGTGCCTATAATTTTCATTTAGGTACGACTTGGCAGGCACTCTCTAAGTTTGTCTTCACTGAGATTACTTACTATATTTGCATGAGTTGCCTAAACCTAGAAAAAATGTGGTGGCTGAGATTAGTATTAGAAGCCAAGACTACAGTGAACATTGTAAAGAAAGGTCTAAGTCTAGCTGTAATGTATTGGAAAAGCTCTATAAAACGCATTTATAATGATTAGTATGTTTCAAGGCTCACAAGTCACTCCATCTCAATTAATATTAAATGGTTGTGAAGCAAACGTCCCAACCTATGTGCATAAGGTACAACTTTTATAGGATTCAAACCAAGAAAGTATGCACATTGTTCGTTTGTTTGCTATGAGAACGGATAATCGACTATAATTGGTGAAACGAGTCAATCGATTTGATTTATATCTTATAGTAAAGTTAAGTCATAAATATAAATGGATAATATGAAATGAAATGCAAAATCGGAGACGTTTTAACTGTTCGACGAGAGTTCGAACAAGTGGGAGTTAAAAAAAATATTGCAAAATAAAAATAAAATAAAATAAAAAAGAATTTAGAAAACCAACCAATTCAGTTGGTATATTAGGACCATGATGGAAGAAATAATGAATATGAAAAGTCAAGAAAGTTCCATTAAACTTCACCTCCTTTCGACGATTTATTCACAACTCTATAATTATTATGTGATTCAAAAATTAATAATAAATGTTGCTGATATACATCATAACGTTAGGCGAGCATTAACCAACCAATTATATTTTATATGAACAAAAATACATAATTATATAGATCACAAATTTTAACTTTAATTTATGTTATTTTCAACATGTAAAAATTTGAGTATAAAACATATGTGTAATGAAAAATCATTCCACATTTCGTTAATAACAAAAAATGGAAGAAAATAACACAATCAAGCATGTATAATGATGTAAACACGTTTACGTCACTCACTGCGGATGCGATTGGTGCAAGAGCAGAAGGGGCAAATTTGTAAATTCATCTGGTCAAGTGAGTGCCAACAGTTTACATACACGACTAGTAGTACAACTATTTAAGCAGCACGTTCAAATGCCCCTCTGTTCCGCTTTAGCAATGGACCAATCTCCACCATGCAACACCTCCGATCACCCCGCCGCCTCCGGCGACTCCAAACAGCCGTCCGGCGGCGGCACGCGCCACCCCGTGTACCGGGGCGTGCGCAAGCGCCGGTGGGGCAAGTGGGTGTCCGAGATCCGGGAACCCAAGAAGAAGACCCGGATATGGCTCGGGTCGTTCCCGGCGCCGGAGATGGCGGCCAGGGCGTACGACGTCGCCGCCTACTGCCTGAAGGGTCCGAAGGCCCAGCTCAACTTCCCCGACGAGGTCGATCACCTCCCCCGCCCGCCCACGACCGCCGCCAGGGATATCCAGGCCGCCGCCGCCCTGGCGGCTAAGATGGCGGCGGAGAAGGGCGGCGCCGCCGAGGAGGGAGGCGGCGGAGGGGACGACTTCTGGGCGGAGATAGAGCTTCCGGAGCTTTTGATGGACGGAAACGGCTGCTTGCCGGAGGTATGGTGGGCGTCGCCGGCCGGTGACCCCACGTCGATGGATATCACTGGCGGCGACCAATTATTTTGACTTGATTTATTTTAATACGCGGTAAGGTGCTCAATTATATATTTGTAGAAATTTACTGGTGACAGGTTGTAAAAATTTGCGTTTATTGATTAATTTACTGTGTTTTTTTTTTTTCTTCTTTAAATAAATAATTATTCGTTGTATTGTATGGATTTCTGCACAGTTAATTATTACATGTACTACGTCATTTCTTTCAAAATTTGAGTATCAGTTTGTACTTAGAAATGTTAAACGAAATCAGCCGTCAATGAGTATGACTCAGACTTATTAATACTCGAACTTGGTTCGGCTCATGAATGCTCGGAAATCAGAAATAGGAAATTTTACATAATTTTTTAAATTTTTACCTTTCCTCCACCTTTCGACTGGACGAAGTTCTATTTTCTGATTCATTCTTCTATGACTGAACTTCGCTTAGTTCGTTAGGAAGGAAGAAAGCTCACTGCAGGCTCGTTAAATTCTCAAGTTGGACACGCTTATATTGACAATGCGAGGAGCTCGTGATCGTTTATCGATTCGTTCAAACTCGACTTTAACTTGTTAATATTGATAACGACTACTCAAGATCATGTATCCAGCTTGTTTAGTTAATGAACCTATCTCGGTTCAACTTGATAAGTGATCGAGCTCGAGTTTGAGTTCGAGTTTGATTATGATCATTTACACATCCAATTGTGTTTGATGGGTTGTTTGAACTTTCAAATCTTTTCTCTGTTTATATTTGAAATATTTCAGAATGACTATATTTATTTATAATTATCAAGGACATGGTATTTGTAGCCAATAAGGCTATGCTTGTATATAAATGAAAATTCAAATATTCAATAACTTTAATCAGTCATTTTTTTAATTGAAAATCTAACTTAAATTTTACACAATCCAACTCTCATCAATATTATCAATATAATTAAATGATATCAATCAATCATTCTCATACGTCACATCAATTTTAAATCGCTATTCATTCATTTACATAATTTTAACCATTCATCACTTGCATTAAATCAACTTAATCATTTTATTTTAAATAGAATTTTAATACAAACTCAAATTTTCATTCAAACTTAATTCAATTAACTTTTTAAAATTAACTCTGGTTAACCAAAAAAGTCACTCAAAACTCGTTTGATTTATGTCCAAGCATGCCTTAAATAGACATGGTTAAAACTGGTTCTGAGCCCGGTCCTAGGCCAAGGGTTGGTCGGCCCTCATCCAACCCCAACATATGCACGGGCCGGTTTGGTGAACCGCCGGTTTCGGGTCGGCCCAGTTCCTTAAAAAAAGTCAAAAAAATAATAAAGAAATAAAAATAGGGTCGAACCAGCGATTCCGATTCCAATTCGAAATCGACCCGACGGTTAAAAAATAGATATATAAGGCTCCGAATCAACTCGGTCAAACTATGAGTGCGGTTTAAGATCCGTTGACCACTGGCAGTTCAGGGCCAAAATTCGGACCCGTTGTCATGTCTAGCCTTAAATAATGAAGTACATAAAAAATAGGGAAAGACCACAGTCCCGTTACGAAACCATTTCATCAATGTTGCTAACCGTAGATTATTTATCCTGTTAGAATATACACTTGTGAGTTTGTTGGGGTAGAACACCAAACACAGCGGACAAAACTACCCCTCTAACAAATATGGCAAGCACTACTTCAAACGAAAATAAGCCAACACAAATAAATAAAAGACGAGAAATAAAAAGAACACAAAAATTGATAACGGAGCTCGGCGAAAATAGCCTACGTCTCCGGGCACCGCCAACCGCAATGTTAAATTTACTAAACTCACCAACAAAATACAACTAGGGTTAAATAACCCACAAATTAGGGTTCCCTTAATTAAGGATTTCCTTCTAAGAGAGGAGAGAATAAAATAAAGTGCAATTGTAACCCAAAGGCAAGGGACCTATTTATACTGATAAGGTCCTAGACATCTTTGGTATACATCCGATGTGGGACAACCAATTAATCAAAAACTAACAATTCTCCACCTTGACTAATTTTGCTCTCACTTCTACTCTTCAATTCAAATCGACTGCTGGTGGTGCCTCCAAATGCGCCTCTCGGCGCCAACTCAAATATGCAGAATGTTGGTCAAGTCTAAACAATGTTCAAAATTGACTGCTGTCACTACCTTGGTCATCATATCTGCAGGATTCTCCGTCGTCTTGATCTTTTTCAACACAACGGTTCCATCTTCTAGAATCTCCCGCATAAAGTGATAGCGAACATCAATATATATGCTTCGTTCTTGCATGAAATACTTGATTTTTCGCTAGTGAATAGCGCTCTGACTATCACAATGCACTAAGAAGTGCTTTTGACTAACTTCCAAGTCTTCAAGCAAACTTTGAAGCCAAATAGCCTCCTTCACAGCTTCAGTAACCGCCAAATACTCTAAACAACTGTTGAGTGTAAGGTGGACTTCCAACTGACTGGAGCTTTCGCAAAAGTGAACACATATCCAGTCGTTGATCTTCACTAATCCAAATCGCCCGCGTAGTCAGAATCACAATATCCAACTACGCACTAACCACATTCATCTTGCTCATAAACTAATCCAACGTCTACAGTACTATAGATGTACCGTAGAATCCATTTCACAGCTTGCCAATGACCTTTATCAGGGTCATGCATATACCTGCTAACAACACCAACTACTTGTGAAATGTCGGGTCTTGTACACACCATCGCATACATCAAACTGCCAATTGCATTTGCATATGGGACTCTATCCATGTACCCTCGTTCTTCATCACAATTTGGCGATAATTGGACACTTAACTTAATATGAGGGGCAAGAGGTGTACTTACAGGCTTCGTCTCATCTTTTATGCCGAAACGCTGTAGGACCTTATTCAGATATTGCTTCTGAGTCAAACAAAGCTTCACTCTCCTTCTGTCCGTACTTATCTCCATCCCGAGAATTTTCTTAGCTTCCCCCAATTCTTTCATCTCAAACTCTTGATTCAACTGACCCTTGAAATGATCAATCTCCACTTAGCTCTTTGATGCAACCAACATGTCATCCACGTACAAGAGTAAGTAAATGAAAGATCCATCTTGCAGCTTTCGTAGATACACACAATGATCATGTCTGCTTCGTGTGTACTTCTGCCTAATCATAAACTTATCAAACCGTTTGTACCACTGTCTCAGAGATTGCTTAAGTCCGTACAACGATTTATTCAACTTACAGACCCAATTCTCTTTTTCAAGAATCTTGAATCCTTCTGTCATATAGATTTCCTCATCTAAATCTCCGTGTAAGAACGTCGTCTTCACGTCAAGTTAAGCTAGCTCTAAATCCAACTGTGCTGCTAAGGCCAACAAAATTCTAATTGAAGAGTGCTTAACAATTGTAGAAAACACTTCATTATAATCAACTCCTTCCTTCTGAGCGTAGCCTTTAGCCACCAATCTTGCCTTGTAGCGCACATCATTCTTATGAGGAAATCCATCTTTCATTGCAAATACCCACTTGCATCCTATCGCCCTTTTGCCTTTTGGTAGTTGCGGCACCTTCCAAGTCTGATTCTTCTGGAGAGACAACATTTCTTCCTCCATAGCCCTTTTCCACTTCTCATTTTCTAAACTCTAAATTGCATCTTGAAAAGTGAAAGGTATGTCATCATCAACAATTGGAAGTGCATAAGCCACCATATCCGCCAATCGAGCAGGTTGTTGAATCTCTTGTCTGGGCTTTCTCAATGCAATGGGTAACTCTAATGATTCCTTAGTTTAAACTTTCATCATCCGACGAATCCTTTGATATTGGTTCGTCGATCATAGCTGGTCGTCTCGTCATCGCATCTATCTCCACCTGCTTCGGTGTCAACTCTACCTGTTGGGCTTGCGTCGTCTTTATCACACTTTGTTCATCAAATGTAACATCCCTGCTGAACACAGTTTGTTCATCTCAAGACACAAAAGACGATATCCCTTCACGCCAATTGTGATTCCCATGAACAAGCCTTTTTCGCTCTTGGATCTAACTTTGAATCCGTCACATGATAGTACGCAGGACACCCAAAGACATGTAAAGATCCATAGTCAGCAACAGGTTTTCCCGACCATACCTCCAACGGTGTTTTATCATCTTTTGCAGATGACGGCAATCGATTTATGAGGTGTTGCGCGTATGTTACAGCCTCAGCCCAGTACTCCTTGCCCAAACCAGCATTAGACATCATACATCAAACTTTCTCCACCAATGTTCGATTCATGCGCTCTGCCACCCCATTTTGTTGTGGTGTCCGTCTAACGGTGAAGTGCCTAACAGTGCCATTTTTTCGGCAAACTTCTTGAAAGGGATCACCTGTATATTCTCCACCATTGTCCGTTCGTAGGACCTTGATGTTCCTTCCAGTCGGATTCTCAATTTGCATCTTCCATGTAATGAAGACACCAAGCACTTCATCCTTCGTCTTTATAGTGTACACCCAAACGCGTCTGGAAAAATCATTGATGAAAGTAACAAAATAGCGTCTTCCGCCTAATGATAGGGTCTTAGAAGGTCCTCAAACATCCGAATGAACATAATCCAAGACACCATCGGTATTATGGATAGTCGTTCCAAACTTCACTCTCTTCTGCTTTCCCCGAACACAATGCTCACAAAAGTCTAATTTGCACACTTTGACATCTTTCAACAATCTTTGTTTTGCCAATATCGGCAAGGATTTTTCACCAGCATGTCCCAACCACATATGCCATAGCTTGACTGCCTCAGACTCCTTGTTGGCGGAATCTGCTACTGTTGTTGTCCCAACAACTGTATCACCTTCATAGTAATACAAATTATTCCTCCTGATGCCTTTCATCAACACGAGCGAGCTGGATGTAGCCTTCATAACTCCATCTCGCAAAGTCACTACCAAGCCTTTGGATTCCAAGGCTCCTAATGAGATGAGGTTTTTCTTCAAACTCGGCACGTACCGAACATCCGTCAAAACTCTGGTGGATCTATCGCGATTCTTCAAACGGATTGAACCTAT